GAAGGAAGGAAGGAAGGAAGGAAGGAAGGAAGGAAGGAAGGAAGGAAAACTTAAAGGAACCAACAAGGAAGGGTGCAGGCTGCTGGTGAAGAGAGCCTAGCATAATGTCACATATGGGAGCACTTAATAAACCAGGAAATGATAATGTGCGGTAAAAGCATGGGCTTTGGAACCATCCACATGTGAGCTCAGTTCTGACCTTGTTACTTATTAGTTGTGTGATGTCCTAATCTTCCTAAATCTCAGTTTACTCATATGTAAAGTAGGCTGCCATAATAATACCTACTCTATATGATTGCTTTTGATTATTTACATTCCTATCTCTATTATGATTATATTCAATAAACAATATTTGTAGAGAACTTACCTTATAGAATTCTCAGTAGTTGTTACTGAGGTTATGATCAGCCCCACCAACAACTAGATTATTCCTTGTGAGCAACTAAACGCTGCACACTAAAGGTCCCCTTTAAGACGACTCAGATACCCCATAGACAGTGTCTATAAGGTTTTGATGTACCTCACTGTAAGTAAATCCAATACACGAAATGTTAAACTTATAAAACGGATACATAATAAGTGACTATTTTTATGAAGACATGATTCACAGGGCCTTTTTTTTTTTTTTTTGGAGCAAATAGCATTTGGTTTACTTTTAATTTTGTAGAAGCAGGTCTATGACATAAAGCAGTTATTTGTACACTGCCTTAAGCAAACTGAGAAAGGGCCACTGCTGAATGGCTTATGGGTGGGGAAAATCTGGCTCACTAATAAGCCTTAAAGTTTGACTCTTTCAAAGGGATAAAGAGAAGCCAAACTCCCCAGCTTGTCTTTTCTAAGCAGATTCTGAACTACTTAAATGTGATGACATAAATCAAATATTTGAGGTTAAGGATTGCTTGTAGATTCATGCTTTCTCCTTGAATCCATTTTTGAGGTAACTCCAGCATAAATACTGGAGAAGCACAGAAGAAGGTTGAAAATGGCTAAACGTACTCTATTCAGGGCTATTTCAGTGCTAAGTCAAACACTGAAACGTCTGGTGTTTCTAGTAATACATTTATTTTATGAAAAGGATATAAGATCAAGAGGCTTCTGTGGCAACTGCTCCATAAGTAAATAAGGGGTGCAAATCATCATGAGGCATGCCAATCTGCTGTCTTCCAAGTATTTCCAATAATCCTTTAAGTCTAGGAACAAAAGTTAAATTCCTGAATAAATTCTCTTATCTTTAAAATCTGCTCCAAAGTTTCAGAAACCCTAGCTTTTGAATGTTAACCAAAAGGAGTTTCCATCCAGTCATCTGGAAACTTTTGCTCAAATTAATGCTAACTTTAACCAAGTTGTTGTAATCGTTCACTGACCCCTTGTTAATTCCTAAGCACTGTGGCCGGGGCCACACTGGTTGTTCTAAAGCGTCTTCATCTCTGAGTCTCATCTAACAGTGCTCCCTTCACTACCTTATGTTGCTAAGATCTAGTATATTTAGAACAAGTGTCATCGAAACCCTTATGCTGGTGTCTCCACCCCCATCCAGTCCCCACCCTGTCCTTCAGCCTTTGTACAAATACTCCCTCCTTCAAGATTCTCCCCTTCACTTGGATTCTCAATCTCATACCCTGATAAGTAAATGTACCATTTACTTTTCTGGTCTTCTTTCAAAATAACATAGGCCTCCCTTATGCTTTCCCTGAATATTTTCTGTACAATTAGCTCTACACTTACTGTTTCCCTGCCTGAATCACTGGCTTATTGTTTAAACCTGCTATCTATCCTCACATCTCCACAGAAATAGCTAGGTTATTAACATCTGTCTTCTCTGTCTCCGTCACTTCTGCCTTTGGTGAACACATTGGGCTCAATCTTAACTCGAAACCTTTACTTCTCTTGTGGCCCCACCCGAAGTCTTTCCTCTTCTTCATTTATCTCACTCCTACCCATCTTTAAAAATTTTTTCAAGTTTAATTTTGAGAGAGACAGAGAGAGAGAGCAAGGGAGGGGCAGACAGAGAGGAAGGGAGAGACGGAGAGAGAGAACCCGAAGCAGGCTCCGTGCTGTCAGCACAGAGTCCAATGCGGGGCTCAAACTCACGAACCACGAGATCATGTCCTGAGCTGAAACCAAGAGTCAGATGCTTAACCGACTGAGCCACCCAAGCACCCCTACTCCTACCCATCTTTAAAGGTCCAGCTTGAGCCCCTTTGCATCTGTGAAGTCTCACCAGAATCTCTCTTCTCTGAATTCTTGTAATACTGTCAATAGAACCCATTGCATCCCAGAGGTGCATCTGAATTGTGCTTCGGGGAGCTACACATATCGCACCACATGCGGTCTTGCCTAGCTGTTCTTTCTTGGCCAAGGTGTGAGTATGTATGCTTCATCATGCCCCTTGGACACTGTCTCCCAGGAATGTAAATCTGGAATGGAGTGACTGAAGGAGAAAATGGATGGAACTAAACCAGTCAGGCTCTAGAGTCCTGGTAAGCCTGTGTCCTAGTGCATCCCCTGGATCCTGGGAGGTACAAGATTTGGATGGACTTGGCTCTTCACATTTCCTTCGTTTCTGTGAGCTGCACATTTTTCCCCCTTAAGCTGGCCAGAGTAAATATTTCTCCCTTACATCCAAATAAACTCTCCTGTTGCCTTTTATTACTGTTTAATTTGAGGAGAAAAGGGCTAAGTAAGTCTTGTGAACCAATGAGAGAGAAAGTTTCTTAAGGACAGAAACACTGTCTTATGACTCTATGTATCTTACATAAATATTTAACAACTCAACTGCATGGCAATAATATATGAAAATCCTCAATTATAAACAAACAAACAGGAATAGCCCCCTGAGATCATCTGCATGACTCCATGTTGCAGTTGAAAATCATGCATTCACTCCATAAGCACATTCTGAGTACCAACTATTAACCAAGCACTAAGTTAGCGACAGGAGTTGTGTGCAAGATGAAGAAGACAAAAGACAGGGCACCTTCCCCAGCTCTTCCACTTTGCAGTTTAACTTGTGTCTTATACAATGATACTACCTATTATTAATTTGTACTTCTGAAGCATTTTCAAATACAACACATCATTTGTTATTCCGATTAGATCGGTGGGAAAGCTGCTGTTCGGTCATGTGACCAAGATCAAAACCAGGGCTACAATGAGAAGACAAGTCCCTTGTTTTACAGTGATATTCTTCCCTCTCCCCCACAATGAGAAACATTTCCTTCAGGACACAATTAAATGCTGGTATGATATTTTATTTAATCCCCACATTACATCCAACTCATAGGTTATTCCTTTGTTGTACAAGATAAAGGTAGTTTCTGAGTTTTTGCTAGAGGAAAACAACAAAAGTACTAGCTGACTAGCAAATATTTCTGTAGTGGACACCAGTGCATTGCATCAGGCTATCCTGTGATAATAACACCAGTCAAGACACACACAGTTCCTGCCCTCACTGGGTTTATGGTCTTGTGGGAGAACAGGTAAGTTCCATATATGGGATAGGTGACAGGATGAGAATACAGCACATACTGAAGTTCCTAAACCTTTTATGTTCACAAAGAATCTGAACTGAATTTCTCAGTCTTTGTCAATCATTTGTATCTTGACTGAAACTGATTAGCCTTGGTTGTTCCCTTATTTCAGAGCCAATGTCCCTTCATCTACACAGTATCGCCTCTCTCCAATTTTTCCCCTTTCTTATTTATGGTCTGCCTTCCAAATTCTGAATTTCTAAAGAGATCCCCAACACCTTTCTGACCCATGGGGCATTCATAAAGATCTTGATGGACTGTCAGCAGTCCTCAGAGCTCCATAGAAGATTTGCTTTCAATTTTTTGAAAGCAGAAAGTTGTCTCTGTTATATTGTCAATGCTCTAGGACAGGACTAGGGGGTCAAGAGTCAAAGGGTACACCATAGAATTTCTTATTTAGGAATGCATTTTTGGCAAGCAGCATGTCTGAATATGCCCACCTGCTGTTTTGCTTCTAGGGTCAACAGAAGTATATTAAAGTTTTCAACTTTCTTCAAAACGCTTGCCATGAAATCGACTTAATGAAAGGAATAACAATAGTAGCAGCAAGTTACAAAGCAAAACTAGGCTAGGACAGGTCTATTGAAAGAGTAGTTGATGGGATGCCTGGGTGGCTCAGTCAGTTGAGCATCCGACTTCGGCTCAGGTCATGATCTCACAGTCTGTGAGTTCGAGCCCCATGTCGGGCTCTGTGCTGACAGCTCGGAGCCTGGAGCCTGCTTCGGATTCTGTCTCCCTCTGTCTCTGACCCTCCCCTCCTCATGCTCTGTCTCTCTCTCTCTCTCAAAAATAAATAAACCTTTAAAAAAATGTTTAAAAAAGAAAGGGCAGTCGATACAAAGACTGGATTTTCTACCAGTTGAGAGTCCACATTTGCCAATTACTAAGATGTACAACTTTCTGGACAATCTTAAAGATGCTACTGTCAACTATGATTTTTGAAAAAGCAATCTGTACAGGGTGTCATCTTCATATACAGTTACTGCGAATGTAGGCCGACTGGGGCACTGCTAGGATGGTTTGCGAGGGAGAGGAGTAAGAGCATTAAGAGATTCTACAGTCAGTACATTCCCAAACTGGCAGGTGAGAGAGATCTGAAAGACTACAAAATGTAGAATGAGGTCAAGCACTGATTTAAAAGTCTATGTATTTCTTTGATCATAATACCTAGCACTTGTTCGGAGAATTTGCTCATGTTAATTACTCCTCACAGCCTCATTCTATAATAGCAACAGCTGCATATTGTCTTCATTGGTGAAGATGCATTAAAAGGGAGTGAAAAAATTGTTCATATCTGTAAAGGAAGTGGAGGCAGAACTGGTTTCTAAATCTTAGACCATTATTAAAAGCTCCAGCTATGAGAAAAGATAAACCCAGGTTCAAGTTCAAGCTCTGTCATTTAACAGCTATGTGACCCTAGATAAGCCACTTACTTCCCATGTCTCAGGTTCTTCGTCTGTTAAAAAAGAGTATGTGGGGGCACCTGGGTGGCTCAGTCAGTTGAGCATCTGACTTCAGCTCAGGTCATGATCTCGTGGTTTGAGGGTTTGAGCCCCACATTGGGCTCTGTGCTGACAGCTCAGAGCCTGGACCCTGCTTCAGATTCTGTGTGCCCCTCTCTCTCTGCCCCTTCCTCTCTCATACTCTGTCTCTCTCTCTCTCAAAAATAAACATTAATTTTTTTTTAAATATGTGATTGATTGCAAAAATGGGCCCAACTGTGCAGCACTGCCTATACCCATGCCTTTTGCCATGATGTTTTCCAGTGCTTCCCCCCCTCCAAGGGATGGGGTGCAGAATTCTGCATCCTTACATTCAGCTACATGACTTGCTTTGACCAATGAGATATTAACAGACGCACTGCAGACAGAAGGTTGAAATGGATTTATGCAATCAGGCTTGTTCAGAGCTTATAGCTCTGTAATCACCACCAGAACATGCCCACCCCAGCCCACTGGAGGATAAGAGACAAATGGAGGAGCTGCATTGCCCCATTCATCTGAGCCAGGGCCAGGCGGGATCAGTCTTCAGTCAGCCAAACGCTATGGGTCACGAGCCAGTGCACCAAGATTGGCAGATCTGTTTAGCCAATCGCTCTAGATGTATAAACAATAAACAGTTATTTTTGTATGCCACTGAGCTTTCGTGGGTTTTTGTGATGGAGCATTGCTGTGATAGTAGGTACGTGATATATGATGGCAAAACCTATCACATACGTATTAATTTGAGAAACACATGTAAATCACTTAGCACAATATCTGGTGACAATAATAACAACAGTAGTGAAAATGTGTGCTATTATTTTGAAGAAACAATACAGAATATGCAAAGGTATTGGCAGTTCATCTGTGGATCCTTCACAGGACGTGTCTCATTGAAATTTTTTTACAAAATCATGCAATTTTACTTCCAGTTTTTGTAAAGAACAAAGCTAATGGTCCAATTATATTTTTTAATCTTGTAAGTACCCTAGGATCTATTCTCATAAGAAAAACAGTTCTTTTCCTTCGAGAAGATTCACTTTGTTAAAAAAATTTTTTTAAATACAAAACAAACACATACACACAGGGTAGAAAAAGACATGCAAATTCACTACCTACTGAAAAATGCCAAAGGCTGGCCTCGTGAATAAACCCAAGTTTTAGTATTTTGTCCCAGTG